ACACACACACACACACACACACACACACACACACACACACACACACACATATATGTTTTACATATATTTATCATCCCTATAATTGATTCATCTGTTGGTAACTTTGGAACTTGTTAGAAATACAAATTCTCAGCCATTCAGGTGTTCAGGTGTTCAGTTGCAGAGCAATCTTCCTGTACCACAGTTTTACACTTTAGATTAAAGTCTATGGTTATGTGAATAAAGATGAATTCTATAGTCCAGTCTTATTATGAGCAACTTAATCAGGCCACAGGATTTAAGTATAAGCTGTAGCTTCCAACAGGACAAGTGAGCATTATTTCTAGGAAATCAGGACCAGTTGTTGACAGGTAAAATCCACATGTTTAAAAAAAAGAAAATAAAAAAAAAATTTCAAAAGTACTAAGAAATGAGTTACTACAGCAAGAAATTCTTGGTAATGAATGCCTAACACTCACTGATTTTATTTTTATAAAAGTCAAAAAGGAAAATAATTTATGATTTGAATTCAGATTGCATTGCTCCTTCCTTCCTTCCTTCCTTCCTTCCTTCCTTCCTTCCTTCCTTCCTTCCTTCCTTCCTTCCTTCCTTCCTTCTTCCTGTCTGTTTGTCTTGTCTGTCTTGCCTGTTTTTTGTTTGTTTGTTTTTTGAGACAGGGTTTCTTTAGGAAGCTCTAGCTGTTCTGGAACTTGCTCTGTATACAAGGCTGGCCCCAAACCCACAGAGATCCACCTGCCTCTGCCTCCAGGGTTGTTTCTGGAAATGAATGAAATGGATGGCATTGCTCTTCAGCTTGCTCTCAGCGAGCTCGCATTTTCCTGTCTGTGAGATGGCATTTGCACCAGCCGACTGAGATCTTGAGTCAGGCGGATAACTTGGGTTGAGCTTGGACCTGACTGTTATCAGAACAGCCATGAGCTCTATGTACAGTGTAGGGGTATTTTGTTTTCTCAGACCTCAGGAACCTGAAAAGGTGTCCCTCCTGTAAAATCGAGTAAGGTGGCTGTGAGAAAACAGAGTAACTTTCCCCATTTCTACCTCGTTTCTGACCTTACAGGTACGATGGTAGGAGACCATACCCGCCTGGAGTTCCACAACATTGAAACTGGTATCATGACTGAGAAGCGTTATATCTCCGTGGTCCCCTCCAGCTTCATCGGCCACCTGCAGAGCCTCATGTTCAATGGTTTGCTCTACATTGACTTGTGCAAAAATGGTGACATCGACTACTGTGAACTGAAGGCTCGTTTTGGACTGAGGAACATCATTGCTGACCCCGTCACTTTCAAGACCAAGAGCAGCTACCTGACCCTTGCCACCCTGCAAGCCTATACCTCCATGCACCTTTTCTTCCAGTTCAAGACCACTTCCGCTGATGGCTTCATTCTTTTCAATAGTGGTGATGGCAATGATTTTATTGCAGTTGAGCTGGTCAAGGGGTAAGTAGGAGAAATCACATAGTTGATGCTGGCCATCTCTGCTGAAACATCTTAGACACTCTGGCTGTGAAGAAAACTGCCTATTTTACAGTTTTCCCTGACCCTTGTCACTAGTTCCCTCCTTGATAATAAAGATGCACAAAATTGGTGGAAAGGACATCGACTCTTACGATTATTTAATGAGACTCTCCTGAGTTAATGTTATAAAGCTTTTAACTATGAAATGTAGTCCTTTGAACCTACTGTGGGGGCATGCTCATTTATATAAAACATGGCTATGGTGGGTTTTGCACCCATCCTTTTGGGTATTACTAATCATAATCAGCAGGTGCATAGTAAGAGATGAAATCTAGTTATTTTTTTTTTTAACGCTGTTAGAATTAAAATTTTTATTTTGAGAGGAGATCATGGACACAGTCCCACATGACCAAAAACTATGAAATTCAGTTTCCTGAACTTGGGAAAATTGCAGAGGTCAACATCATAATTTTTTTTAAACTTCTTTTTCTCCCTCTTATTCTGCTACCGTATGTTGGAAAGTAGTCAAATAAGAACATCCAGAACCGGGGATGTAGCTGGTTTGCTAGTGTGCTTTTCAAGTATGTGTAAGGGCCCAGGTTCAGTCCTGTCACTCCATACACTGGGTGTGATGGTGTCTGCTTGTAAATCTTGTAGTGTGCTTGTAGAGTCAAGAGGGCAGTAGGTCAAGGCTAGTCTCCTGAGGTCAACCTGGGCAACATAGGACTTTGTTTCAAACAAACAAACAAACAAACAAACACCCTGATAAATATTGATTAAATTTTACTATTGCTACCTGGTATTATTTAGGGTCCTAACTGTACCATATCTTAAGATCTAGATATTACTTTGGAGCATTAAAAAAGTAGACTTTGGCCTGACTGTGAGTACATGCCCATAATTCTAGCTCTCAAGACTTTATGGAAGGAAGATCATGGGTTCCAGGCCAACATATACTATATTGCGAGGTCTTGACTTAAAAAAAAAAATGAAAGAAGACTCTATGAGTCTGTGAATATGGAATTGAAATCAAGTATGATCCGATAATTACCGATGATTCTTATAAGAGTATTTAATTGCTATGTTGCACCAAGTTAGCATGGGAAATTTGAAGGCCTTGTTTTTTGATATATATGTGACTGCCGCTGAACCACTTCATGGCATCTGAGGTGATTTTTGCTTCTTTATCACTTGTAGGTACATTCACTATGTGTTTGATCTCGGCAACGGCCCCAATGTGATTAAAGGGAACAGTGACCGCCCCCTGAATGATAACCAGTGGCACAATGTTGTCATCACCCGGGACAACAGCAATACCCACAGCCTGAAAGTGGACACCAAGGTAGTCACTCAGGTCATCAATGGTGCCAAAAATCTGGATTTAAAAGGTAATCCTTCCGCAGAATTTTGTAGTTTAGGGTCCATCTCCCAACAGAAAGGATGTTTCCACGGGGGAGATCCACGTTAGGAGTTCCAGCCGTATTTTCTGTACTACACAGATTTCATTTAAAAAGCATTGAATTATACCATTTGGCCACTTATCCAGTTTCTATGCAGAGTATTCCTCAAAATTGCTTCATGATCTCTGTTAATATTTGGAGTGTTTTTCGGGAGTCTGAAAGGTGAAGTGATGATAAGTCAAGGCTTTGTCAAAATGTGGGAGGGTCCTTAATAGAAGGGGAAAAGATTCAGCCAACTCCCTTCTTCATGGGTGACATTGTGTCAGCCATATTCAGTACTGTATATTAATACATATACCAAAGGGAGGATAAGACTGTTACTCTCATTATGCATTGTTAGATGTTTGGTGGGATGTCTGTAAAACTCTCAGTACATTATTTCTAACAAACATAAAAACTACTCAATAAATGGCTGTTTTGTTGACAGTATTGTTAATTATTACTTCATGTAATTAGGCAGAACCTACTTCATTAAGTTGATATGGCGATTCAAACTTTGTGAGATGACGGACACAAAATGAATGACCTGTAAGAAATATTTGGGGTTTTCTTTTTAACAATTTAGAGCCTCTGACAGTTATTCTTGTTTTAGCCCCCCCACACACACACACGGTTGTGTTATCATCTAAGGAATAGTGCTTGAGCATTAGTGGGCATGCCTGGCACCTCCTTTCTCTACTTGGTCTCTTTTACCGTGCCCTTTCCTTTCTAGGTGATCTCTACATGGCTGGCTTAGCCCAGGGCATGTATAGTAACCTCCCGAAGCTTGTGGCCTCCCGGGATGGATTTCAGGGCTGCCTGGCCTCTGTGGACTTGAACGGCCGCCTGCCTGATCTCATCAACGATGCTCTCCACAGGAGTGGACAGATTGAGCGAGGCTGTGAAGGTAGACCCTCTCTTCTTTCTAAGCCTTGTCACAGCACCGAGCCCCCTTGCTGCTCTGCCAGTGCATTGTTCCTCAGTTTACCCACCCTCTGTCATTCTCCTTCACCATCCAACAGTGCATCCTCATTAGTGTCCTTTTGTCACTTGTTGAGTATGCCAGACATGTGCCACGGTCTCTGAGAAGGTATGCTGGCAGAGATCCTCCCAGAATCGCATACTTGGCCCTGTGAGCTACCTTCCCTGTCATGGACATCAGACTTCTCCCAATTTGTGCCCTTGTTTTCAGAGTGGCCGAAAGAGCACTCGAGATTTCTATTTCTATTTCTATGTTAATAATGGTAAAGGACAATGCAAGAGGTCCATATGGCTGTGACCGTCAATAAAAGGCTTCCTATTTTTGACCAATAGCCACTGGATTATTTCTGGCAAATCCATTGGGAGACAGAGAAATGATGTCAGAATGCCATGATGATGGAAGAGAACTTGTATTTATTGAGTACTTGCTGGATCAGGCTCTGCTTGTCAGTCCTCTGTGTACTGTTGAGGAGTATCCTCAGTGTCCACTTTAGGAAGACCTGGATTAAAGTCCAGCTGACATTTGGCAATTTACTTAACCACTCCGAAGTATCTTTATTTTCCCCTCTGTGAAATGGGACAATAATAGGCACCTTTAAAAGTATTACAAAAAAATCAGAAAGATACGAAATGCCTGATACATAGTGGGTACTGGATAAACGTGGGATTATTGTTCCCGGATATTATCTCAGGAGAGTCACATAACAGCACTGCATGTTTACCCACGCTGCACAATAAACCTGCTCGGCCCGTTTCTGTAGACGCTGAAAATGACATACATGTCTTTCCAGAGCTGTTGATGACTGTAGGAACAACTTAGTGTTGGCCGGTAGAGGGCGGCAGAGCACACATTGTGGGTTCATTCCTGCCTGCAGGCCATCTACAGGCAAAGCAGTTGCCTAATGAGTCACCAACAAAATTCTACATAGTCTTCCCTCTGGCTGAGCCTAATGGTCCTTTGTGCAACGTATCGTGTTTTCTTGCATCCATTTTTCATTTTACGTATCAAAACTGTTCGTTTATTTCCTGTGTTCAAGTTCATGAACACTACTTTTAAAGCGGCTTCCCTTTGATTCATCTCCATCCCCTTACAGTACAGTTTTGCAAATGCTTCTCAGGCCAACACGTGCTACAAAAGATGTTTGCCTTTGCCTGGGTCAGTTGTCTGTGCTGCAGTAATGTCAGAAGGATCATCTCTATGGTCGGCTTCCAGTTTTCCTCTAACCAAGACTATGTTTTTAATTCTGATGCCATTAACAGTGTGTGTGTGTGTGTGTGTGTGTGTGTGTGTGTGTGTGTGTGTCTATGTATATGTGATGGGTAAGAGGTTAGGAATCAAATGGCACTTGAAGTATCCATTTTGTGTTTTCCTAAAAATGCTGCACAATTTCATACAACTGGAACATTTTTTGGACTTACTGGTCTATTCATAGTTCTTCAATGCAGGGATAAATGAAATATTTGACATTCAATTAAGAATCTTCCTTTAGAAGGCTTTCGGATGACAGTAGTTGAGCTTATCTCAGAATGTACCATATCAAGTTAAATTAAAATATGAAATTACACTCCTTAAAAGGAAAAGGTAGGGTAGAAGGCAAAGGAGTTAAAAAGCAGTCCTGCTCTTACACAGGATGCAAAATTTTTTTCCTAGCACCCATATCAGGTGCTAGGAAAGCTATAACTCTACATCGGGGGTCCAACACTTTCTTCTTGCTGCCACAGGCACTCATGTGCGTGCACACACACACACACAGAGGGAGAGAGAAAGAGAGACAGAGAGAGAGAGATTGAAAAGAAAATCTATTTTAAAAAGAAAGCACGAAGTACTATTTAAATAGCAAATAGTTTCTACCATGTCTTATTCAGGTTGATCGGTTAAGGAGAATCCATTGACCAATAAAAATCTAGTATGGGGCGATGACTCAGCGGGTAAAGCAAATGCTGTGTAAGCATGAGGACATGACTTTAGGTCCCCAGCACCTACATATATGTGGGGTAGCTGTGGAGGCTCATCCTCGGGCCCAGGGCACAGGAGACAGAGACAGGACGCTGGTGCAAGCTGACTAGGTGCACCAGCTGAACCAACAGGCTCTGGTGCCAAGTGAGAGAGACCTTTGCGGTGGTGGGTAAGGCACAAGGTCATGGAAGGAGATGCGTGACATCAGCTTCTGGTCCCTATGTACCCACAGTGCCTGTTCCCACGCTCATACCATACACGTGCAAGAAAAAGAAAATGTAGCACAAATCACACATATCATTTGAGATTTCCTTGTAGTTATAGTTAAAACTGTGTAATATGACAGGAAATTGGTTTTCATTTCATATTTCATCTTAGTTAAATCAATATATCCAAAATACTAGCATTTCAGTGTCATAAAATGACTCATGAATATTTTTTATCCTTTTTTATTGTAGCAAATCTTTAAAAGCTGTGTACTTTACCTTTGTAGCAGCAACTAAATTCAGACCACACACATTTGAAGCCCTTCTGCCACAGGTGTGTCTGGCTTCTGTATTGGAAGCACAGCCCTGTAGAAAGTGAAACTTGAAGTTGTCAAGAAACGAAGCTACAACACTAGACTAAAGAGAGGTTTAAATTAACTCTCACAAAAAGTAAAGGTAGAAGGGAGGAATGAGCCCTACTCAGGAGAAATTCAGGGGAAACAGTAAGAGCTCTAGCAGAAGGAAATTACCCATCACGATGGGGGAAATGTTCCCAGCCCTTCCCGAAGCTCTGCATCAGCTTGTGTGATTCACCACATGCATTATGGTGGATGCCAGCCTTTCTCTAAGTACTGTGATTGTTCAAAGCCGGATACATGCGACTTGATGGCTCTCCCATCCATCTATGGCAAAGCCCGTGGGCCTAATCACATGCACTCTATTGCCATGGAGATAATTATGATGGTTGCCCACCGAACATTAAGACTTCCCTACTGGGTGGGATGAAGTGGAGGGTGAGTGGCAATGGAGGGAAGAAGGTCCTTGTTTATTGTACACAAATGACTTAGATAATTAGCTTAAGTGGCCAGAAAAAAATGGCCAAAAAGTGGGTTAAGGCATAAATGACTATCACTAGAAGTTTGAAGCATTGTGAATAAAGCCTCAGGAAGATCCTGGGAGCCTTTTTAGAATTATGTGGAAATGACACCATGAGAGATAGCCTTAAACCATGTAGAGACTACAAAGGATCCCATTCTCATGAGTCTCTTGCACACAGCATGTGAATCCTAAGAATAGCTTAGGGTACAAGGTATCTGAGATTCACAGGAAAGACAATATGTAATAACTAGCAAGAAATAACTGAGTGTTATTTTTTCATAGAGAATGGTGAATGAGTCTCTATGAAGAAATGAGATCATCTATGGGGATGAGATATCATTACCAAAAACCATGACATGGTTCTGCTTAAAATGGCAAATATGTTATATTCTGATATATTTAGATTTAACAGACTCAGATGTATTATATGTTTTTGCCAAAGTTGGTAACATTGAAAGTTTAAGATCTCTAAGGAGTAAATGCATTATTTTTCCTTTATCTGACCCAACAAGAATACATGTAAGAATGAAAAGAGTTAGAAATTATTTTAAAATTTATGAATTAGGTATTCTTTGGGCCTCGGGTTATTTACTTAGTATTTATTTATTTATTTTGTAGCTAAGAAGTAGGTTTTGATTTTATATCTCTGATTTAGAAGTTTGATTTCTAGTCAAATTTTAGCTGTGACTTTTGGCTTCTAATTTGAGGCAAGATTTTTTTTTTTTAATCATGCCTAACTTAACCCTTGGCTGGTAAATTCCTGTTGAGGTCGACATAGCCATAAAGGTTAAAGCATGCTGAGCAAAAGTGCTGTTCCATAGTTGTGGAAGGCAATCATCTGAGAGAAAATACCACGTGCTTCATTTTGGAATCAATAAAAAGGACATTCCTTTGGTGCCTTTTTGCCCACAAACATTTGGCTATATTCCTACAAATTGAACAAATTAAACTCTTTGGTGCTCCCAGTGGGTCATCTGGGTAGAAATGCATGACTCTGGTGCCATGCTCCTTGGTGGCATTTCCAAGGGTGTAAGGGAATTGGGGTGGCCATGGTGACTCTTCCTCCCATGCTCAACTCCTGAATGTTCCAAATTATTTTTGTGGGCATTGAATGTGCACATGTGTCTTTCAGTCTGGCCACAGGCTGCCATCATCTCTAGACTGAATGCCTTGGCGTTGGCTGTGTGTGTGTGTGTGTGGGGGGGGGGGGGCTCTTCTTGCCCATTGCTTCTGCTTTGTCAAAAATCGCTGTTTCCCTGCCCCAGCTCTGCTGACTTGGCTCTCAGGAGGCCTGCTCTGCCCTGGTCTGTGCATCCCCTTGTCTGTGCTGTCTCTGGTGACCTTGTACAGCATTTCAAGTGTCTGTCTGAGTGATGTTGGCTGTGCAGAACTGCATTTTTGTTTCTGTAATGTTACCCAGTTGACTCTACTCTAACTAACCTCTGGTTATTGTTTTCGCTTTTTCTGTTCTTTTGCTAACAAAGTTGCGTTGACCAAAGCTGACCTGCAAGGTAGAGAAGGCGCTTATTCCACTTTGGACTGAAAGATGCCCTGTGTGACCCTTGGTATTGTGACATTAGAGGGCTCCTAGCTGTCATGCCTCTTAGACAGCAGCCATTTTGGGGGAGGGGGCTGAAGCCAGTGTTCTTCCAAAACGGTGACAGAAAAACCAAAAAGTATGCAAGGGAAGTTACTATACAAAGGATATATAATGGGGATAAGAACATGACTCCATTCTGGTAGGACCAAAGAAGTTTGAAGCATCCTATACTATAACTGTCTCCCAACAGAATCCATTCTGGAAATGATTTTTAACTCTTATCCCAGTATTTGCCATGGAGGGCCTGATTCTTTATAATTCATTCAGCATACATAGAAGGAAGA